TGTAATTAAATATATTCGACACTACATGGCAACACTGTGCCGTGGGAACTAAAAATATAAAGGTACGTAAAGCTCAGTATAGGTAAAATAATTATACAAAGGTGTTGAATTTTGTTTTGCATTCAGTCGTAAAGAATTTTTAATCGCCAAAATATTATCGTCAATGTAGCTAACTACATTGCAACATCAATATGCAACAATGCGAGTAGTTTTACTATTTATCGATAGATGGAAAATAGTAAAGTGGGCGGGGCTTAACATCCCCTCACCACGCAAATTGTCACTCGTTGTTACATACTGAAATCTAATTAAAACACCTCCTCTTTCATTTGCTCCGTGGAAAAATCATCCTATATAAATGGTTTTTGAATCTATATTGGCAACAGCGAAGTTTACTAAGTGTGTATTGACATTTAATGGTGGTAAATCGTCTTTGCCGTCTAAAAGTTCGTGTGAGTGGGATATCTTGTGTAGATAGTTTTTAGTGTATTTTGGTATAAAAAGTAACAAAACATGCATGCATGAGATTACGTTTACAAATATTATCCTAACTCTGCAAAAATTATGAACCTTTAGCTGTGCTATTATAGTGTTGTGCGTTATGAGGTATCGCAAAACTATCCTACAGGAATGGCCTTTGGGAGCTGTGATATAATAGTGTTGTGCGTTTATATGGTATCGATGAATTATTCTACAGAATTGGCCTTTGGAAGGCGTGCTGTTATAGTGTTGTGAGTTATTGTGATGTCGATAAATCATTCCACAGATAGCCTTGGTATGGTACAGCAGCTGTCAATTAGCTTAAGACTTAGACTACTACTAGCCTGACTAGCCCATTGGCTGTATTTTTATTAAAAAAAAAGTAAGTTACTAGTTGTTAAGTAACTAATTGAGTACCCGACTTAAGTCACCTAATAAATGACTAAAGTTGTGCTGCGTCAATTATCCAACTATAAAAATTATAGTGTATATATTTGATATTGCGCTTGCAAAAATATGCTGTATTCTTAGTTCTAGCATCTCGATTCCAAATATACTGGATTCAAGGTGTGATTAATATGATAACAGGACTATACAGCACTACGATCTAAAATTATGATATTACAAAACTATTGTAAAATTGTATCAAAATGCCTGTAAACTAATATTGTGCTTGCAAAAAATGCATAAAAATCAATAATACGTTATAAAAATATATATCATCTTTCTTTCTCTCTCTCTCTCTCTCTCTCGCCTCTCTCTAAAACTAAATTACACTGCAGTTTGGCGTTTAAGCTTTAAATTACGCAACTACACAAATCTTTACGCAAACATTACATTCTCAATATTAAACAACAACTTATTAATATATATGTACAACACATTAAACATTAGTGATGCTAATACATTGTCTTATGTCCTCCAGAGCGATTTTCTCTCGGTTGCCAGTCTCAACAGAGACTAGCCATTTGCACGGGGATGACACCCCGCCAACTTCCTGACTCCGGGCTGCTACTGATAATTTCTTGACAAAAAAACCCAATAACTAATGTAAACCCGACCCGGAATTCGATCCCGGGATCTTGAGTAGTACAGTCTGTCGTACTTATGACCACTAGACCAATGAGTCCGTCTATCCATATCACCCCTACTGCTTGAAGCTACACACTGTATGCAGCAATATTAGTGATGGTCGTATCAAGTTATCGATATACAAGTGTAAGTATTGTCTTCACAAGTTAATCTACACATTTAAATTATAAGTGTTAGCTAAATCTTTTTTAGATTTTTTTTTAATTTGCGTAGTTCTTAAATTTTCGTTATAAATATTATTGTTTTGAAATTTATGAATAGAGAATCATTACGTTCCAAATGAATAAATTTCACAAATGAAGCCGATAACAAATATTTTTGTAATTCACTTCCTTTACTATTTTTTATAAAAAATATTTGTTATTCAACACAAATTCATCACAGATTAAATAAAAAGGTTGTTGAAATTGTAATAGAACACTTATGAAATTACAAAATATCTACATTGTTGAAGCATATATTCTAATCAATTAATAAAACAATATTACACAACTAAAAGCTAAAATTATTAACTAAACAAAAAAGAACAACAAAGTTATTTTTACGAATTAGTATTTGGTTTTCAAACTTGCAAAATGTCACTGACATAGGTATGGATATAACCTGTACACTGACATAGCATGCCCTGCCCCTGTGTGTCTCACATCTATCTTGCCTGTTATTTGAAAACGAAGTGGCAGTTTGGAACTATTTGAGAGGCTTTTGCTGATTTCATGTTGGTCTTGGACTTTGCATACCATGTTTATGTGGGCCTTATGGCAAATGATGTGCCAACTGTGTTACTTGCCTAAGCATGTCGTAAGACGACTAATGGTGTATTGGGTTTGTGATTGTGAAAACGATGGGCTAACCTATTATGAATTTTTCATAATTTTAAAAAAAATTCTGAGTAGCTTGCTGCTCTTTGGACTCTGACCTTTGAGGATCACAGACTTGACGCTATGTTTGTATGCCTTTGGCGATAACTTCTTTAAAAAATAAAAACCTCTAATTTTTTTTATATTATTTAGTCTTTAGTCATTTGCACAACGACAAAATAGTGATGTGAAAAACTTCGCGAGATTTATGATTGTATCGAGTCGACTTTTTTATATAAGTACCTAGTAGATCATATTGTTTGTGTTGGTAATTATTTATCAAGATATTTATTTTTATTAAATTCCCCAAATTTTGGCCGCACATTACATCAAAATTTCAAAGCATTGTGAATACACGATTTTTAGTGAGTTTCACGAAAGTCAAAGGTCTTTTTCTCAAAGACTATTTCACGTAGATTATAGAAAATCGTAGGTACAAAATACGATCGTACAAATATGATTAGACAGGCTCAATCTTTTCAATTTAATTCCATCTTAATGCTCAGAAGTGATAACGTTTGTAGTCTTCTTTGTTTGAAATTGGCTACTGGTGTCCGCGGACTACAGTAGTCACTTACCATCAGGTGGATTGTAAGTTCGTTTGTGATTTCAGTTTTATAAAGAAAATACACCCATGAACAACTTAAAGTAGCTCTATCTCTCTTTCTCTTTTCACTAAATGGCTATAGAAAGAGACAGGTATAGAGAACCAATACCTTATTTTTTGGCCGAGAAAGGAAAGGGGAAGATCTTCCGGTCTCCCGCCGGGTAAGGTGTCCAATCCGGGGAGCGACCTACGCTCCATGTGTTAGCACAGATCTGTTCTATACACAGCGCAGTACTTCGGAACATTGATAGCGTGATTTAGACTTTTCGTGGTTTTGACTTTGGCTTGTGGTGCGACAACAGCGTCGCCACAATTTAATTAAGCGATAAACAACCAAACTACGGGTATTCCTAAAAGTAGAAGAATTTAAAAAAAATAATAGTTAAAAATGTTAAAACTTAAAGAAAAAACTCAACTTTTCAATAATGATGACACTGTACGGCCATTTCCGTGATAAATAAAATCACCTCAGACCCAGTTAGCGACATCTGGTGAGCGTAAGATTAGACAAAGGAAGAAGAGATCATTAGCTCTCATTGAGGGAGGGCGGAAATTACTCTTCAAACTAGATAAGACATGTCATTTTAACTGTCTTCGTAAAAAGGAGGAGGTACTCAATTCGACTGTATTTTTTATTAGCGTTTCCTCAGAACTTTTTTTCTAGGTGAACCCATTTTGAAGATAATTTTTTTTATTTGAAAGTTGGTGCTTCTCTAATGGCCCATATACATTTATCAAGATCTGACCAGTATTTTTTGAGTTATCTTATTATTGTTAACTAGCTGACCCTGCGAGCTTCGAACCGCCTAACAATCGATTCTTTAAAAAATTTATTTAATACTTATTCTGCTATTCGGGACACCGGGTCAGCTAAGTAAGATAAAAAAGTAAACTTTATGGTATGGTTAAAGTTCATATTGACTTTTAAGTATTATTACGAATCTTTTGTATGGGAATGTAGAAAAGTGTTGTTTTTAGACTTTTTCAGGCAATTTTTTAAATTTTTCTCTCCGTAAGAACCACCTCAATACTTCAAGGAATATTATTAAAAAAAAAAAATTAGCGAAATCGGTTCAGCTGCTCTCGAGACTTGCGCTTGCAACACATTCAGCGATTCATTTTTATATTATAGATTGCGTATTTAATTGACTTCAACTACATTTTCTTTATATTGAAGTCACAGTACAAAATTTTTAATTTCACCACTCGTATTTTTATTACATGGATCTTAAGCTATTTAGTTTTTTACATATTTGATATAATGGTTTTCCGCTTCATAACACATGATTCTATTAATTTCCAAGCATTGGATTTACTTTGCAATGATTGTACTCCTGTACATTGACTTCTTTATTGAAACAGACTATATTTTAAACGCGAGACTAATTATACTCTACCTTTTGTAATAAGACAAAATCTAAAGCATTAAAGCACTTGTATAACAGAGTAACATTAAGGATGTCATAGACAACAGAAAATTTCCATAGATAGCGTAAACCCGTCCATATAAAACATTATCTGTACCCTGATTGTTACATTTTACACTGTAATTATATTTACTAATTATGTATATATAACCGATATATACAAAATAAATATTAAAAAATGTGCTAAACAAAAAGGTTTTATGTAAACATACAAAAATTAAAAATAAATTATTAAATACTCTTTTTTTTTAAACTGTTCCACTTAAATAGACGAAAACAAATTCTCACAACAACCAGATTTCCGAGGTGTTAGATTTTACCATAACTGTTTTTAACTGGGTCGTACAAGACCTATTAACGAAATAAGAGAGAAATTAATTTTAACAAAACCTAAACTCCTTACAAGCACAAACAATTCAAACACAAGACACAAAGTAAAGTTAATAAATAAGGTTGTCGCGTCTTGTGTTCGAAACAGAGTATCAAAACAAAGTCTTCATATATTGGGTGTCCCTTACTTATCGCTAATGTCTCCTGTTACAAGATGGTGCACTTCTTCTTTCTGCCACTCTTGTGATCCGGTTTGATGTTGATCCGCTCGGCCTCTTGGAAGCGCCGCACTAGACGGACCAATTCGTGGAAGGCTTGGTCGACGTTCATTCGGGCTTTGGCGCTGCACTCTATATAGGGTACTTTCAGCTGTCGGGAAAGTGCGTGTGCTTCGTCTAATGACACCTGTTGAGATAAAAAAAAATGTGTAAGAAAGTCACCCTATTTTGAAGAAATGTTAAAATACAAGATATTTATTTGTGGAAACATAATTATACATACAAAGTATGCAGGTTGTTGAGATACATTAAAAGGATCGGTCATATTTGGCCTTTGTGGTTTGTGGCGTACAAATGCACAAATCAATGAAAATATTATAAATAGTTTACAATAATTGAAAATGAAATTATTATTAACACATTATCGAATTAAATTATTATTAAACTAATTTTAACAATTTTATCAATTAATCTAAATCAAAGTAATAAATTAAAAGTAAATGTCTGATTACATTATTTGCTATGAAGATACATTATATTTTATCTACTTTATACAATGTCAATAATAGAATAGGTTGTGCCATAATATTTAAATAGAATAAAACTATTTTTTACGGATTTTATCGCGTTTAATTTACTATTTTAATTCCCGACGTTTCGGGTGCTTTACAGAAAAAAAAAATAGTTTTATTCAATGTGTAGTGTTCGCGTAAATATAAGAAATCATTATAATATTAAAATTTTATTATTCAAAAATTCTAATATGCTAAAATATGCTTTGCCTTCTAAATAAAATTTCAACTTATTTTTAAATACACGAGCTGTTCCTTCCAACATTTCGGAAGCTTATTATATATTAAAGGGGCCATACAAAAAACCACTTTTTCGCATCAATGCAGTTATTGAGCTAAGCAAACATAGAATAGTATCATAGTGTCTGTTGCGACTAACTACGGCTGATAGACGTGGAAATAAGTGCAGATTATTATATATAGATATTTCCCATATTTACGCGGATACTACACATTAAATTAAACTAATTTTACGGATTTTATCGGAAATATATATTTTATCGGAAATATATATCTCCGTGTAGTGGCGGTCTCTCCGTGTAGTGGCGGTTAAGAATATCCACTACCCCATATCTTCCCGTGGGTGTCGTAAAAGGCGACAAAGGGAAACAGGCAGGAGATGGGCAGCAGCATCTTCCTGATAATAGCCAAAATAACAATAAAAAAAAAACTGCGGTTGCCAACCCGCTCGCCAAGCGTGGCAACTATGGCAATATACCCCCCATGAGCAATGACAATAATAAACGGCCCCCAGTCCCCGGCGGCCCCGCTATTCCTGGCTACGGTGGCGACCATGGTAACGGCGGGGCAGGGGGTGCTAAGAATCTCCGGTGGAGGTTCGGTTGCCACCTACGACGACTCGACCTGGCAACATACAACGCACGCACCCTGAGGACTGACGAGAAGATTGTGGAGCTGGAAGAAGAGATAGACAAGTTACGCTGGCATATTATAGGATTATCCGAAGTCCGAAGAGAGAGGGAGGACACGGTAATCCTCGAATCCGGCAACTTGCTCTATTACCGGGAGGGCGACCATCTGTCCCAAGGAGGTGTCGGATTTATCGTCCACAAGTCTCTCGTTAACAACGTTGTAAAGATTGAGAGTGTGTCGACGAGGGTTGCGTACCTTATACTCAGAATCACCAAACGGTATTCGCTGAAGGTCATACAGGTTTACGCACCAACCTCGGCACACCCCGATCAGGAGGTGGAGGAAATGTATGAGGATATATCTAGAGCCATGCATTCCTCCAAAACCCAATATACGGTGTTAATGGGAGACTTCAATGCAAAACTAGGCACAAGAGAGAACGGTGAGCTGAAAGTAGGGAAATTTGGAATAGGGCAACGGAACCCAAGGGGCCAGCAGTTGGCTGACTTCATGGAGAAAGAGGGACTCTTTATGATGAACTCTTTCTTCCAGAAGCGGCCCCACAGGAAGTGGACCTGGTCGAGCCCCGACGGTTCGACAAAAAATGAGATTGACTTCATTATGACGACCAGACGACAACTGTTCAGTGATGTCTCAGTGATCGCGAGGGTGAAAACCGACAGCGATCACCGAATGGTTAGAGGCACACTGAACCTAAACGTTAAGTTGGAGAGGTCTCGTCTAATGAAGTCAACGCTCCGTCCCCCTCGTGCTCTAATCCAAAGTCCCGAAACCTTTCAGCTCGAGTTACAAAACCGTATTCAGTGCCTAGAAGACTGCAATGAAGTGGACGATTTGAATGACAAGCTCGTGGAAACTGTCCATGCGGTCGGAGCTAAGTTCTGCAAGACCCGCCGCAGAAGAACACAAAAACTCTCCGATCACACTCTTAATCTCATGGCTGTTAGACGGGAGATGAAGCTACATTCTTCAACAGATTTAACAGCATACAGGGAACTGAACAGACAGATCTCCAAATGCATGCGGCGGGACTTACGCAACTTCAATACAGCTCGTATTGAAGAAGCGATCGAGCGGAACCAAGGCTCCAAAGTCTTTGCCAGAGATCTGTCTGCCAGAAAGCGCCAACTGTCAAAGCTGAAGACAGAGTGTGGCAGCATCGTTTCCGGGGCACCTGAGATTTTGAGTGAGATTGAGAGGTTCTATGGGCAGCTGTACACGTCATCGTTGGAGCCGCACGCAAGTGTGAGTAACGATCCAAGAGCGAGTCTTATCCGACATTATTCCGATGATATCCCGGACGTCAGTCTGAGCGAGATTAGAATGGCTCTCCAGCACCTTAAAAACGGCAAGGCCCCAGGCGAGGATGGAATTACAGCGGAGCTTCTGAAAGCGGGTGGAAAACCGGTACTTGAAGTCCTTCAGAAGCTCTTTAATTCCGTCCTCCATGGTGGCATTACACCGGAGGCGTGGAGCAGAAGTGCGGTGGTCTTGTTCTTCAAGAAAGGCGACAACGCTCTCTTGAAGAACTACAGACCGATTTCCCTTCTGAGCCGCGTCTACGTCCTGTTTTCGAGAGTCATTACGAATCGTCTCGCGCGCAGACTTGACGACTTCCAGCCTCCCGAACAAGTCGGTTTCCGAAATGGCTTTAGTACCATAGACCACATACATACCCTTCGGCAAATTGTACAGAAGTCCGAAGAGTACAATTTGCCACTATGTCTGGCGTATGTGGACTATGAGAAAGCCTTTGATTCCGTCGAAATTTGGGCGGTGCTGCAGTCCCTTCAGCGATGCCAAGTTGACTGTCGGTATATCGAAGTGTTGAAGTGCTTGTACAGTAGGGCTACGATGGCTATCCGAGTACAGAACCAGAGTACGAAACCTATCCAATTGCAGAGAGATGTAAGACAGGGTGACGTCATATCCCCGAAACTCTTTACCGCTGCATTGGAAGATGTTTTCAAGCTTCTGGACTGGAAAGGATACGGTATCAACATCAATGGCGAGTACATCACTCACCTTCGATTTGCCGACGATATAGTCCTTATGGCAGAATCGCTGGAGGACCTAAGCACTATGCTCAATGACCTCAATAGTGTTTCCCAACGGATAGGTCTTAAGATGAACATGGACAAAACAAAGATCATGTTTAATGTCCATGTCACACCTATGCCGGTAGTTGTTGGGAACACTAAGCTCGAAGTTGTTGACGAGTATGTTTACCTGGGACAAATAGTCCGACTAGGTAAGTCCAACTTCGACCGAGAGGTCAATCGACGGATTCAACTCGGTTGGGCAGCGTTCGGGAAATTACGGCACATCTTCTCGTCAGGTATACCTCAAAACTTGAAAACAAGACTGTACACCCAGTGCGTGTTGCCAGTGATGACATACGGAACTGAGACGTGGTCCTTCACTGCTGGCCGGATGAGGAAGCTCAAGGTCGCTCAGCGAGCTATGGAGAGGGCTATGCTCGGAGTTTCTCTGCGTGATAAACTCAGAAATGAGGATATCCGCAGTAGAACTAGAGTGACCGACATAGCCCAACGGATTAGTAAGCTGAAGTGGCAATGGGCCGGCCATATAGCTCGAAGAACCGACAACCGATGGGGAAGAAAGGTTCTCGAGTGGCAGCCTCGTACCGGCAGGCGAAGTGTAGGGCGTCCCCCCACTAGATGGAGTGACGACCTGGTAAGATATGCAGGAAGTCGATGGATGCAGGTGGCTCAGGACCGTGCTTTGTGGCATTCTTTGGGGGAGGCCTATGTTCAGCAGTGGACTTGTGAAGGGCTGTAATGATGATGATGATATATTTTATATTTTACGGATTTATACGGATAAAATCATATATACGCGTCTAAATATATATATATATATATATATATATATATATATATTTAGACGCGTATATATGATTTTATACGCGTCTCCCCCTTGTGACCACGAAATGGTACGTCCGAATTAATTTAAGTATTAGACATGTGTCAATTGTAAACGATTCGTTCATTTGAACCAGACCGCATCAAAGTATTGATGATTGCTTCAAAAGATTGGCAGGACCTACGAGCAAAGAGTATAGTAGTGTCCGACAAACGACATTATCGTACGGATACTAGAAACGATCCATTTGAATAATCGAACCCAATGAACCGTTTCATTAGACTAGTCAATACTTGAATGAACACTAGGTGGTACCTTTTCTGCCTAAGAGTTTGCCAGGGTAGATACCACTCACTTACCTATTCCTACCGCCAAATGGTAGTCCTTGCACTGCTGTGTAGGCTGTGAGGCATTCCACCTTATTCACCAGAAGTGACAACGTATCTGTAGCTTGCTTTGTTTAAAGTTGGTTGCACGTGTCCATGGGGGCTGCTGTAGCCACTTACATCACTTTTTTTCCGTGGTAGAGCCATGCTGCCGCTATATTAGTAGTATAGTTGTAGCACGAATGAGTCGGCTCGACCGTAGAAGGACCACGCTCTCACAGAATACCAGCGTAAAATAGCAGCTTAACGCTGCTGTGTTTCGTATGGTGAGTGTAGAGAATCGGAGACCCTTTTTATTGGAAAAGAGGCATTCCATCTTAGTCCTCACGGGTGACAACGCATCTGAATTTTGAGTCTTTATTGAGGATAGATGTTGATGTCTATAAGTCACAGCAACCACTTACCATCAGATGGACTGTGTGCTCGTTCGTCACACTATCCTATAAAAA